ATATATATATATATATATATATATATATTACATAGAGATTATTCAAGAATGGATCAGAATTTGTACTAAAAGGTGTTTTTCAGTGATTTATTGATCTGCCCTGGGAGGTCCATAGTCCTGTAGTCAGTTTGACCTGGCTTTTGGAAAGGGACAAAAATGAAAACAAATCCCAAAATAAGTGATTTAGAAATTAACAATGAAAGAGAAAGTGCAGCTGCTTGTTTGATTCACAGATCCGTCAGGCTGGTCTGACGTTACAAACAACAAATGTGGCATTGCCAGCATGACAAGTGGTTTGTCAACTGGATGTGGGCCAGGTCTGGCAATGATGGTTCTGTTTTTCAGATGGCATGTCACTACTGGCCCAGTTGTGGTTTAAACCAATCCACAACAGGTCCAGTTGTGGTTTGGTTTATGTGGTGCTGGCCCAAGCATGGACCACCCATGGCAAACCACATTTGTGCCCCCAAAGGGCTGTCATTTGTGGTATCTGGGCCGAGTACTGGAACACTGTGTGGGCCAGAACTGGGCCAGACAAATTTTGCTATGTGCGATGTTTCTGCCTGGACACGTAAATTAAAACAATCTGTTTGGAGAACTGTATGTTGTTCAAATAAATAAAAAGTTTTATGCGAAGTTTCAAAGTGGTTGACCGAAAATAAGAGAAGACAGTGGAAAATAAGAAAAAAGGAAATACATTTTAAATATAATTTTCATAGTTGACAATAATAAGATACGAGAAAAGCACTTTAACCTTATAAGACCACATTGCATTTAATAATGAGTATGTAAAACCACGTGGGTTCATGAATGTAGGGATCATTTTGCTCTTAATAGGTACAAAATAACAGCTGCTGGGTGCAAAGTGAGAGGTACAATTTGTCCAGTGCCTGTTTGAGGGGAAACAGAACAAACAGTAACGAGTTAAACATAATCCAAATTTGTTTCAGGATGTTTTCTCAGCCTCCAGGGACAAAAACAATCATCCTGACTCCAAAGACTAAGTGGGAGCTGTTGTTTTGACTCTACTGTATATCGCCAAACAAAATATCTTGTGAACAACTGGACACATTTTAATGAAACGATCAGAAAGTAATAATTGGACGCATATTTGTATTGGATTAACTGTTGGAGTCAAATCAATTCAAGATGGCCGCCACAGCTTATTGACTTTAAAGTTTCTGACGGTCAGTTTTACAGATATTGAGCTAAAAGTTGGTGTGGTAGTAGCTGACATTCATAACCAGTGGTGAACCAAGTCTATGTTCAGACCTTTGGTAATAACTGTTGGAGTCAGCCCTGTTTGTCTGTTAGCAAAATATCTCATGAAACAGTGGATGTTTTTTGATAAAACTCTCAGCAGATAATCATTGGAAGTATATTTAAAAGAATCACTTTTGGAAAAAAAAACCTTGGGAAAAAATGTCTATAACTCAGTCAACTGTACAGACATTAAACTAAAACCTGACATGATGGTAGCTGAAAGTCATCCCCAACACATTCTAGGAATGCTAAGATTTAAGCCAAATGGCAAAAACTACATAATTTTTCAAAATATCTCTTAGCTGAAAACTTTGGAATGAAAGGTGGTGGGCAACATGCATCCCTTTACTGAGTTCTGGATCTTTATTTTCTTTTAGTTATATTTCTTATAAAATGTTCGTATCAAATAGCAACTGTCCCATTCAAAGGTGTTCTCTGAAATTTAACTTGTCTTCTATCGGCACACAGGGATCGTACCACCACCGTGGTGAACGTGGAAGGGGATGCCCTGGGTGCAGGAATCCTCCACCACATCAACCAGCAGGAAGTGAAGCATCAGCAGAAGGAGGAGCTGGAGGAGGTGCGGGTGGAATCTACAGCCAACGTTCAGGCGGAGGAGGAGACATCGCCGCTCGTCATGCATCGAATCAAAGTCCCAGGGGCCGTGCCCGAAGCCATCGAGTCTGTCCTGTGAACCCGTTTAACCTTTGACATGTGCGATGTTGCTGCTCATGGGGCACCTGTCTGACCCAGTGTCCTTAAAAACAGCACAAACTATACAAAAACAACCCACAAATCACTGATGGTTTCAACTGTGAGGACAGAAACAGGCTGCAGGTAGAGTCTGTACGGTCTGAATCTTAACACATTTAGGAATGATTCATTTTTAATAATGTTTAGTTACAACTTGCTATTGGAAGAGTTTAGTTTTCAACATTGATGAAAACATGAGTATCATTCCCATTGATGTTCGAGATCGGTTTTCGTAACACTTACTGCCTTCCTTGTTTTAATTTCCAAACAGCGTTTAATACTTTTTATTATTAGACAGTCAAAAACAAATTTAACCATCAACTGCTGAATAAGTCAGTTATTTTCTAACTTAATATATTCCATGTGTGAGTTGGAAATGTAAATGAAATAACCCCAGATCAAGAGGTTTTGGATACTTCTGTCATATTGAAGATGGAGTTTTGTGGTTTCAAACTCTTAACTTGTATTTTTCCAGAATCCATCTGTGCAGGCTGCTGTTTGCTGACCATCAGCAGACAGAGGTCAAACATTAACTCTGCAAAGGTAAAGTGAAGTATTTGGCCTGATTTGAGAGCAAACCTCAGTGACAGATTGGCTCATCGTCCTGGTAAAACATTTTGAACATTGGACTATCTGAATGAGCCCATTCCCTTGATGTTCTCACGTAGGAAGGCCCATTTGTTTACAGGTCAACTGAAGATTGGCCTATTTCCATGTTTTTTAAACAGCTAAAACTGAAACCATGGAACAAAGTCTCCTTAAAAATATAGGACTTTGTCTTGCCATCTGAAGTTTAACGCATTATTTTTTTTGAGGGTAGTATCTCACTAGGCAACAACTGTTGCAGACTAGATGGTGAACGGTATTGATGGCAAAGTCTCTAAAATATCTCAAAAATGTTTAGGGGGTTCAGAATTTCTGAGTTGCAGAGGCTCACAGTCTTGTTGCTTGAACTTTGAACTTCTTGAACATTCTCGGCCTAGAATACACTTTTGCTAGGCATACACACAAAAATTATTGATATCTACGATTCAGCAGTAACAAAACACGGCCGTGTGGTTAATGGCTTTATCGCACACGCTAAAAAGTCTGCGAGACTGCAACAGAAAATGATTATATTTTCTTACAAATTTGAGTCTTTACCTTACCTCCAACAATTGCAGCTCAATGAAATACTACCTTTAGTTATATAAAAACACATTTTAGTTTTTTGCTAACTTCTTGTGAGATCTTTGTTTCCAAGAATGATTAAAATTAGTTTGTTATTTGAATGCTAGCTAACTAGCTAAAGTAGTGCTAACTTGTAGGGTCATCCCCATGTTACCCAGATCCCTATGTTTCCCCCGGTATAATCATCTGTTTCCTGGTACCTATATTTCCCAGATCCTTATGTAGCCCACTGGTACAACCATATCTATGTTAGCCGATACCTGTATTCCCTGGTAAAATGCCTGCACCTAAATTTAGTTGTATATTTAATTTGTTTCAAAAGACATTTGATGGGCGAGCCAAGCACATTTCATGAATTTCATTATTGACCACAGGAGAACATAGGTAATGTAGAACATGGGCACCAGGAAACTGGAACACAGGTACCCTGGAACATTGTAACACTGGAAAATAGGTACAGTGGAGCATTGGTACCATAGAACATTGGTACAGTGGTACATTAGTATCATAGAACATTGGTACAATGGAAAATTGGTAACCGTGGAATATTGGTACCATGGAACATGTGGAACACTGGTGCCATTGAACATGGGTAGAGTGGAACATGGGTACCATAGAACATTGATACACTGGAACATTGGAACACTGAAACATTGGTACCATGGAATATGGGTATAGTGGAACATAGATACCATAGAACATTGGTACACTGGAACAGTGATACCATGGAACATGGGTACCATAGAACATTGGTACCATGCAACACGGGTGCAGTGGAACATGGGTATCATGGAACATTGGTACCATGGAACACAGGTACAGTGGAACATGGGTACAGTGGAACATTGGTACTGTGGAACATAGGTACCATAGAACATTGGTACAGTGGAGCATGGGTACCATAGAACATTGGTATACTGGAACATTGGTACCATGAAACATGGGTACAGTGGAACATGGGTACTATAGAACATTGGTACCATGGAACACAGGCACAGTGGAACATGGGTACAGTGGAACATTGGTACTGTGGAACATAGGTACCATAGAACAATGGTACACTGGAACATCGATACCATGGAACATGGGTACCATAGAACAATGGTACACTGGAACATTGATACAATGGAACATGGGTACCATAGAACATTGATACCATGGAACACAGGTACAGTGGAACATGGTTACCATGGAACATGGTTACAGTGGAACATAGATACAGTGCAACATAAGTACTGTGGTACATACAGTACATACCTTGGAACATGCGTACAGTGGAACATGGGTATAGTGTGACATAGGTACTGTCACACATAGGTGACATGAAACATAGGTACCATGGAACATTGGTACTGTGGGAAATAGGTACTGGGGCACATAGGTACCAGGGAACAAAGGTATGAACCCCTAACTTTCAGCTAACAGCTTTAGATATAAGTTTTGTTATTTTAGCTGTTTGCTCAGAGCTAATACTTGTCTGCTGACACTACTAAGGTTCGTGTAACCTGACAAACTAAAAATGTACTGTAAAGAATTGATATTTAATGAATCATCTTCGAATTAAAGAAAAATTAGAATCAAGGGATTTTAAAGCCAACATGTTATTGAACTCTGAGTCATAAGTTGACTCTGTGAGAAGATCTAAACATTAGTGTCCAAGGACTGCAGATTTTTTTTATCGACCATCATGAAAACACTCCAGTCTCTTTTCAAAGGAAGAAACAAATCGGATGTTTAACTTGAGTTTTTCAGTAAAGTTCATGATGGTTGGTGTTAGGAAATCACATCGAGCCATTCACAGAAAATCATATGTTTATGCTCAGACACTGGACCAAAATATATAAAGAGTTCTTATTTTTTATTCTGGAGATCCATCCTCCATTTTATTTGGTGGGCAATTCACCTCCGCTGGCTCTTTTGTTTGTTAATGTTTGTGTGTGGCTGATTTTCAGTGGCGTCTCTGCTGTGCTGCATTAGTATTTTTCCCCCGATCGGGTTAAATGTGGATCAAAGTGAGCACGTCTTCTTCACACTTACCGTATATCTGTGACTCTGTAGGGGTCTGAGGTCCTCTAAAAGAGTCACTGCTCTGTTTGTTTTAATGTTCTTGGTGCTGTCTTTTTTTACGGGGTAAAATCTAGTGCCATAGCTGTTCATACTTTGCAGTTCAACAAGAAGCAAGCTGTGCCAAAACTCCCTGTTGGCTGGACTGAGCTGACCTTTGAGCTGGTGGCTCCCTCTGGTGGCTGTGAAAACACTAAACTAACTGTGGTAACATTTCTTATATACTTAATTTAATCTGTTATTGCCATAAATCTTGTGATGTTATTCTGTGAAGAACACTAAGATGTGATGGATCTGTTATTATTTTTAAGCCATTTGTTTTTCTGTGTCTGTTTCTGACGCAGTAAAAATAATCGTCAGATTTCTGCTTTAATTTGACATAGTGGATTTAATTTGTTTTTTCTCAGTATTACGTGTTTCATGGTCAGGTTTGACTGTTTTTGCTACAATAACATGTATTTACACCTGGTATGGAAAATGAATTTATGTATGTTTGGGTCATAATTTACCCTTTAAAATGTCTGTATGTCTCACACCTTCCAGTAAGCTAATAATTTCAGAATGTTCCTAATAGTTTGAATGTATTTTAATGATTTTTTTGTTAATAGTTTGTATTGCCTGTGCCGTGTCGCTGTCAAACTCTACAGCTGTCTGTGCTCTCAATCCTGCTGTCCGCCTTCAATAAACTGAACGGTTCTGTCATAAAATGTTCAGAAGGGTTAAATTCCTTTTCTTTTAATAGCCTTGACCACACGTGACAGTAGGCCTGTGACAGGGTATTTAATGGCACATTTCTCTTTCTAAAAGGGGGACGCAAAAACACAGTGAGATAGTGGTTTCAGACAGAAGTAAAACAACTTCAGGTCGTTCCGAAATGGGTTTAATTTTGCAGACTTTTATGATTAATAAGACAAAAAAACAAAGTAAAATAAAACACACAAACAAAAAACAACAACAGCACATGTACACATATGTCGTTATCATGAAAAAACCATGGAAAATTATAAAATGCAGAAAACGTCCGCTCTCGACTTCCGTACAAGTGGAAATGTTAAATGCTACATTGTACAGTCACTTAACGTTCCCTAAAGTTGTTGTACCCCAGATAATATGGCACACAAAGGCCTTCTGCACAATCCATTACAACACACACTGATTAACACTTGAATATTATCATACAAACATATTTTAACAAATATAGACATATACTATTCAAATATAGGCAGTTACTTTTAAACTTAGATTTAAGATGGTTGCAGCTATTGGCTAGAGGTGAATGCTAATATCAAGCCGATCTGATTATTAAAGGAGCCTATAGAAAGCTGTTTCATTCGAAATTAAATAAATAAATAAACACTATAATTAATAAAGTATTAATTCTATTCCAACAAATGAAAAAATTTCCACATGAAATAAAACAAAATCAAAATATTAAAACATTTCAGCATGTTATTTATTTATTACATATTTACTTATTTATTTATATTCAATTTAATTAATTAATAATTCATTCATTCATTCATTAACTAATTAAGTAATTCATTTATGATATGTAGTTGTTTTGTAAAGCTACTTTACATATTTCAGGGACTTTTATTAGTTCAGTGAACTTGTGTTCAAGAAACCAGTCTGAGATGATTCACGCTTTATGACATGGAGCATTATCCTGCTGGAAGCATCCATCAGAAGATGGGTACCCTGTGGTCATAAAGGGAAGAAAAGAAAATAATTGTATAGGTCTTCTGGACGGGTTCTTCTCTAATGAAACGTTTCGTCTCTCCTCCAAGAGACTTCTTCAGTCTGAGAGTTTCAGGCAAAAATCAGGCTTTTAAGCCCTGCCTCCATGTGACTGATACTCACATCATATGACTATCGTTGACACCTAATTAACACCTATTGTTAACAGGGGGTGGAGTGATGCTGGCAATAGCCCTGCTGTAGGAGGGGGACAACTGAAAACGGAGGCCTCCACCTCTGTTTAATGAAGGACGGTCTTTCTTCACAAAAATGGCTTCTTTTACTCCTCTCTCAAACCAACGTTCCTCTCTATCAAGAATGAGAACATCCTCATCTCTGAAAGAGTGACCGCTGGCCTGTAAATGAGTGAAAACTGCAGAGTTCTGGCCATTAGACGTAGCTCGTCTGTGTTGGGACATTCTTTTGAACAGTGGCTGCTTTGTTTCCCCGATGTATAGTTCTTTGACTATAACAAAATAGCTATGACTAAAACTATAACTTTTGATTTTTCACCTGGATTACTGAGATGCATCAGGACTGCCAGACTACAGATAAGCAGCAGAAGATGACATAATCATGATTACACATTGGTTCCAGACGTAACAGTGTAATGGTTTCATTGGTTCTGTTGGTTTCATAGCTAATCAAATACAATCCCAGTTAAACTATAGTAAATATAAAGTTTTTTTATAAAACATTTTTTAAAATTCTTGTACATTTAAAACCGAGTGTAATATTTAAATTAAAAACGAAGCGGAATTGCGTTGTGAGGCTGGGGAACAGTGACAGTAGTGAAAATTCCGACGGTCCTGAAAGCAGCAGGGATGATGCTTCAGATCCGTGGTACCTGTTAGCGGGAGGTTACCGGATCAGTACCGCCGCTCCTCGGTCATGCCTCACCTCTGGTAACACAGGCTGAGGACTCCCAGGCTCTTCGGAACCAAGACCCACTTCCGAACAGCGACATGACGACCCGGTCGGAGAGGGAAAAAGCCCAGAAACAGAATGAGCAGCACCAGGCCATCCTGTCCCAGCTGCTCAGGGAGACGGACAACAAGTACTGCGCTGACTGCGAGGCTAAAGGTGGGTCGAACCTCAGGTTCGGTCATTAACTAGCGGACGGGAAGGTGAAATGGTTCGGTTAAAGGCTGGGGAAGGGGCTCAGATGGTTCTCATTCATCCTTCTTGACCCGGTTCGTTTGTAAAAAAAAAAAAAACAAAACAAAAAAAAAAACGAGTTAATTTTATTAACGAACTGTGCTGTCATTTTGGTAGAAGACTTTAAGTTGTTATTTTATTTCAGGTAGAATAAGAATTCAAAATGAGCAGAGCGACATCTGTCCAAGTTGAGACAAAATTTATCAACATCCGCCCGTCGCTTTCAAAATAAAACAATTATAGCGTTTAGTTCAGGGGTGGGCCACCCTGGTCCTGGAGGGCAGCAGCCCTGCATGTTTTACTTGTTTCTCTGCTCCAACACACCTGATTTGAATGAACAGATGATTATCAGGCTTCTGCAGTACGGAGGACCAACACTGACATAATTAGAAATAAAAGCGGAAATATATATCCAACAAATAATATATTTTTGCAAAAATACGTAAAATGTAAATTATGTGCAAAAATATATTATTTGTTGGATATATAGTTGGAAAATAAATGTGAAAGTCAATTAAATTAAAACATGAGGTAAACCTCTCCTTTTGTACTTTAAATGGCACATTTTTACTGTATTTATTTATTTAGCTGTCTGTGTGTGTGTGTGTGTGTGTGTGTGTGTGTGTGTGTGTGTGTGTGTGTG